ATGCACCACCATGCCTAGACTCGTTTGCTGGCTCAGTGCACCCTGGGGGGCAGGACCAGTGCTGTATGTGGAACTAGGGGTGGAGCCCTGATCCTTGTGCTTGCCTAAGCAGGCGCTTAGTCCGCTGAGCTATCTTGTGGGCCCTATTTTTTATTTGTTAGTGGAAATATTCCTAAAAGTAGAGATAAGTGTACAAGAAGACAAGAAAAAGTTGCCCCTTTGTAATTCAGTTCTATTTGTACAGAAAAACTGAAACAGTGGACGTGGTAATCCTGTAATCCGAGGACCCTTGGCTGAGGCAAAGGATCTCAAATTTAACCCCATCTTAGGCAATTAGCAAATTAGTGAGAATTTGTCTCAGGATAAAAAGTATGTGTTTCAAATTATTGAAAAATAGGACTGGCCAGATAGCTCAGCGGACTAAAGTGCCTGCTTAGGCAGACACAAGGACTAGGTCTTGATACCCAGTGTGCTGTGTGGGCCGGCATGCGCTGAGATGGTGATTGAGACTGGGCTTGGTGGCTCGCGCCTGTAATCCCAGTGCTTGGGAGGCTGAAAACGGGAGGATCACTATGAGTCTGATTTGTGTAGTGAGACCCTCTATTAAAATACATTATAAATAAATAGATTCCTAGCATATCTTGATAATTAGATGTAAAAATATATACTATTTGTGGGCTTAAATATTTGATGTATTTCGACTTACTGCAGACACTTTATTGATAGTCATGTAGGTATACTAAGAGCACCATAAGATGTTCATGATCTTATCACCAGAAACCAAATGCTTTATGGTGAAGAGGAATTGTATAGATGTAATGAAATTAAGGGTTTTGAGTCGTATCTGGGTTATCCAGCTGGGACCATCTGTGTAACAGGAGGCCTTATAAGAGGCAGGCACAGGGCCAGAGAAGGTGGTAGGTGATAAAAGCAGAGAACTGAGCAGTGCACTCAGAAGATGGAGAAAGCGGAAAAAGCAAAGAAAAGGCTTTTCTCCTTGAGTCCGAGAGGAACCAGCTCTACAGACACTGCAACACTCACTTTCTTTGCTCCAAAAGCTGCAGAGCTGCTTTCCAGGACACAGAATCTTAGGACCTGAACTAAAATCCCTTTGAGATCCTGGGGAGACAGGTCTCCAGTGAGCAGAAACTGAAGAAGGGAAACAGCTCCTCTTGGACCCAGACTAGAAGCCAGGGGTATTGTCAACTAATGCAGGAAGACAAAAATAACAGACTGGGACAGAAACTACTAATTACTATGTATTACAGTTCTGTGGACCTTGTATGGCAGGTGGGGGTCAGGAAACAACTTCACCAGGACCTCTGGTTACAACCAGTTGCTACTTCTACTTTGCCTCAACCTCTTAAATTCCTTCCGTCCAGCCTGGTAAACGAGGCAAATAGCATGACTCCTGTTTTTGTGGGACCTACAATAAAGCCTTTTTTTTTTTGTAAAAACTGGTGCATAGGGGCTGGCAAGATGGCTCAGTGGTCTAAAGCACCTACTTGGAACAAGTTTGGGAAAGCACAGGGACTGTGGTTGGATCCCCCAGCACCACATGCCAGCCAGCCCCGCCCCCTGGTAGGCTGAGCTGCCCCCCACACACAATAAATGAATAAATGTTTAAAAAAAAAATAAAGACGTCTCCAAAGTGCTGATACCTTTCACACCTTTAAAAAAAAAAAACAAAAAACCCCCAAAACTGGTGCATAGTATTGTCTTCTGTGTGCAGCAGGCTCTTAATATAAATATTTTGGCTTTGGTATGGAGAAACTGATTTTGGACTTCTGACCTCTAGAACTTTAAGCTATATTTGTAACGTTTTAGCCCCTTAAATTTGTGGTAACTCATTACAGATGCAATATGAAACCAGTAACATTCTTCTTCTGTGAAAGGAATCCTTTTCAAATTGGTTATCTAATATGATAAAGTGTTTCTGGCTAATTTTGTACATTTCTATCTCAAACCTGGAATCAATCATTTTTCCAAGGAATTATGGTTTCTTTTAGTAGAAAATGATTATTTTGCGATCTTTATGAGGCATTCATGGGTTTTTGCTTCTCCTTTTTGGGATATTGAGACAAGATTTGTCTTACATAGCCTTGGGAGGCCTGAAGTTTGTAATTATTTTGCCTCGGCTTCCCAGAGTGCTGGGGTTGCAGTCCTATAGCATGCCAGCATGACTTTTTTTTTTTTACTTTTGACAACAGGGGTTATGCAGTTCAGTCTGGCCTTGAGCTCACTT